CCTCAGGCATTGTGCAGCCAAAGCTGTGCTAGCCAGGTGCCAGTGAACCCTCCTAGGGAAGGGGCTGGTTCCCTGCTTGTAGCCTGGACAATGGGAAAGGGTATCTGGGCCTCTTTGGGACTGGTGAGTGTGCAGGTGGGAAAGAGGACTCCACTGGGGGATGTCGGGGTCTGGACTGGGGCTGGAGGCCATGTATGCTGTGTAGGTAGGGTTGATTTTGGAGCCTGGAGTGACAGGCCTGGGGCCAGGCAGTAGCCTCCCTCCCTGAGTTAGGTCAGTGGTTTAGCTGGGATAGCTGAGCTGCACTACTTAGCCAGGTCTGGTCCCACAGGGAGAGTGGCAAAGGGCAGCTGTTCAGGATGGGGACAGCACATGGTCCTTGCTGCACCAGATTCCTGCTCTCTGCCAGCTGGAAGAGAGTGCAGACCTGGGGCTGTGAGGTGGCAGGGGAAGGGTGGGAGCTACTTGCAGTCCTGCTCCCAGTGCTCTAACTCCTTTGACACTTCCTCTCTTCCCCAGGAGCAGATGTTCTGTGCGAGAATGATGAGCCAGTGAGTCCCAGTCCCTCCTCCTCCGAAGCAAGCAGTGATGTGGACACAGACCCTGAGGAGCAGGAGGGGCACATGGAGCTGGGAGAGGCAGACATGCTGCAGGATCTGGATGACATGGACCTTGGTGTTACTGCTGGGAAGAGGAGCAAGGAGGCTGGTGCCAGTGGGGCAAAGCTGCGCCGGGGACACACACCGCTCGACTTAACCCGGAGTCAGAAGGTGCAGATGGCAAGGGGTTAAAGCAGTGGGAATCTGAGTTTCCAGAGCAGGAGGTTGGAGGGGACAGGGTGTTTGCTGTGGCATGGCCTGTGGCACTGTCCTCACAGGCAGGCATTAGAGACTGATGCCTGGTAGAGGGTCACGGGTGCCCTTGGTGCCCTGGTAGTGTGGGTGGCTCCAAATGCAGCATCCCATGAACACAACAGCAACAAGACATGTATGTAGCTGCTGTGGTCAGTGACAGGACATGGTGAGGGAAGGCATCAGTGCACTCCTGCCAGGAGAGCCTGCTACAGGTGGAGCCAGAGCCAGCCAGGGCACAGCTGAGGACTGGCTAACTGAGGAGCAGCTTGTTCTCTGCCTGCAGCCTATTCCTCGCCCACAGCCAGGCTGGTCCTGCCCTGCAGGCAGTGCCTCTTCCTCCTCCAGTCTGGGAGACACTCTTGTTACATAATAGATATGCAGCCTCCTTTACCTTGCCCCTGCCCAACCGCCACTGGGAGTTAGGGCCCCCATAGGCTGAGCAAGGTGCTTGGTGGGGGAGGAGAGCATGTGCTGTCTGTGCTGCAGCCCCTGGGGTCAGTATGGGTGGCTCTGGAGCAGGTGTCATTGCCTGCTGCCGGCTTGCCTCTTCAGGCCAGGCTCTTGACTGTAGCCTTTGGCCTGGCTGTGGGGAGGCCTTAGTCTTGCCATGCTACCTGGGCAGGGGTAGGGCATGCAGTGGCCACTGCTTATTTGACTCTAGTGTGCTCCTGTCCTCTAGGTGCGGGAGATCTTGCTGCGTGCCACAAAACAGGGCCCAGAGTCAGAGCTGCCTGCGGTATCCAGGCCAGGTGAGTGGGTCCAGCCCCACCTGGGGCCTCACCACAGATGCCATGCCCAGGCCAGTCCATCTCCCTTGGTCTCACTGATGGGGAGGGGATAGGGCCAGATCCTGCCTGCTGACACATTTCTCCTACCCAGGGAACATCCTGTCCCTTGACAGCGAGATCCTGCAGGGACTGGAGCAGCTACTGAATCAGGATCGTGGGGGCTCGGACTGGACTGAGCTGGCCAAGAGGCTGGGGCTCTGCAGCCTGGTGGAGACATTCAAGGACACATCCTCCCCCAGCAGGAGCCTCCTGCTCAGCTACGAGGTCAGTCCTCTCCCTAGGGTGCCCTTCCCAGCCCTTTCACTGCTCCCTCACGAGCCCCTCTCACTGTTGCTTTCTCTTCAGCTCTCCGGTGGCAGTCTGAGCAGCTTGCTGGAAGCACTGGATTCCATGGGGCTCAGCGAGGGCGTGAGGATGTTGCGTAAGGCTGAGACATACAACAAGCTGCAGAGCACAGGTAAGAGCCAGGGCTGAGCTTGCAGGGAGAGGGGGATTGGGCAGATGCCTCACCTGTGCCTTGGGGCTCACCATGGTGTCTCCCTGCCATGCAGAGCTCAAGGAGGACAGTGCCTATGGGAGCCAGTCGGTGGATGAGGAGCAATCGTCAGGCCTAACCCCCAAACAGTGCCCACCAGCCTCTGCCGAGCTGCCAAGCTCACTCGCCCACAGCCAACAGCAGCAGGTGCACTGAACCACTGGGCACATCCCCTGTGCTAGGGAGCCCAGCTGTGAATGACATTTGGGGAGGGAGGAGCTGCCAGAGGCTCTTGCACCTGCAGTGGATCAAATACAAGTGCCTTTGGGCCCAGGGCTAGCTGCCCATACTGGGCCCCAGCTGCCCTGCTTTGGACTTGGTTGGAGCCTACAGCCCAGCCCCTGCTCTGCTCTTATTTAATGGTCCCTAGTTTGGTTCCAGGTGAATAAAGGGCCACTCTTCCTACTGCTTCTGCACTTGGTGTCTCCAGCATCCTCCCTAGGCAGAGGGCCCCAGAGCTGCCTGCTGCACAGGGTCTGCAGCAGGGATGGTTACAGGCCCCAACTCCCACCATGATCTGGCCCTGCAGGCTGAACACTCGCCATTCTCCTGGTGCTCTTCTCCTCCCAGCACAGAGCACTACACCTGGACTCTGCCCACAGCATACTGGGTAACCCACACCAGATTGCTCTGGCCTGCTGCCAGGGTAACTGACGCTTTGTTCAATTCAAAGTGCTGCCAGTCACAGCCCCTAAGACTAGCTGCTGTCTCAGCCTGTGTATCCACCCCTCTGGGAGCAGAGGACAGTAGAAAAATCACACCCATGGCAAGATCTTGAGAGCAGGTTTTACTTCAGTACCTGATGGAAGAAGCTGTACAAAGTTTTCACCCTGAGCCATTTGCTCAAGGATGGATTTTTTTTTTGCAATAGACTCAAAAGAGTGCAGAATAAAAAGTTTGACACATTCACCGAGTCAGTACTGGAGCCAGCAAGGTCCCTATGGCTAAAAGCAGCACACCACTCTCCCCCTTCCCTCCCAGCCCAGCCCTCCTGCAGGGGGGGTGGGAAGGGGTGGCAGCTGTGTGGAAGGCTGCCTGCATGAACTGCTGCCATTCACTGAGGACCCTGTGGGCATGCTGCCCCTTCTACTCCAAGCCTACTGCCTTTCATGCTGGGTCTGCTGCCCAGTCACAAGTGCTGGGTGTTGTTGTGCTGCAAGTAGACCCCTTGCACTGAGTGCCAGGGCAGCACTGGGTGGAGAGGGGGGCCTTGGCTTCAGCCCATGCAGCAGTCCTATTACCTTGGGAGAAGAGAGAGGACCCAGGCCAAGCCTGGTGTCAGGTATGTGCAACTCCTGCCCCAGGTTACAATACACATTCCTCTGAATGCTTGTGCCAGGACCCAAGGAGGCAGGGGCTGGATCCAGCTGCCAGGACCTGACTGCTGCCTCAGAGCCCTTTCAGAAAGGGGAAGATCAAGGAAGGAGGAAGCTATACAGAGGGGGAAGACAGCACCTGCAGCTGTGTGTTTCCCCTCCTTGTTAGTTGCTCCAGCCTAACCAGTGGCTGGGAATTAACCCCATTCACAACCTCCCCACTTACCAGGAAAAGACCAGGTACCTCACGTGCACCAGCCCATCACCTGCCCTCTCAACCACTGCTGCTGAGGCTCTAGACAGCAGTTGAAGCTGCCTGCACCTCTGCATCTGTGTTCTAAAGGGTGAATGGAGCTAGCCCCTCAATGGGCTGCAGCCAGGCCCCTTCGTTATGGCTTTGTCATTTGGCTGGAAGCAAGCTCCCCTTGCTATGTGGCTGCTGCTCAGACCACAGGCTCGTGTGAGGCTGCAAGATGGCATGTAGTGCAGGAGCAGGGAGGAGTCTGCACCAAACGAGCTGCCCCTTGTGTGTGACATAGAAAACAGATGAGTGCCAGGGCTTCTGTGGGCAGGGCTGGGGCCTCAGCCCAGGGCCCTGATTAAAAACTGTCCAAAAAATGCAATGCTTCTAAGAAATAATTCTTTTTCACAGTTCCCAAAAAAATCATCAAAATCACCCCCAAAAAACTTCACGTAGTTCAGCTCATTCAGGTACTAAAAAGTGCAAAACTGTATCACAAAAACCATTCAAAACAGTAAGAAATGGGCAGGGTGGAGGAGCAAGGGGCCATGGCCAGGATGTGGATGGCCTGGCTGGCCCAGCTGGCAGGAAACAAAAAAGCAGCTTCCAGCTGGCATGACCAGGGCTGCAGCACTGATGCATTAACTGGCCCCCATTGGGGTCTCTACCCACAATCCCGTCTGCCCTAGAGTCTGGTGGGCAGCTCACAGGGCCCGCCTAGCGTAGGGCAGCCACCGTATAATCTAGCCCCATCACTCTGCTCTCAGGGAACCTGCACCCAGGTCCAGGAGAAGGGGGTAGGTCTTGCTAGGAAGTCTGCAGGTATGGAGATGGTTCCCCTGCTGCTACTGCACTGCGTCGATGTTTCCCATGAGCCTCAGTGGAGGGAACTGTTTCCATGCTGATGTGTTGGGGCTCCTTCCACTGGTGCTGGTGGCAGGGTGAGCGCAATCAGCCCCCATGGCTTGTGCCCGCCAAGGATGAAGTCATGCAGGTTTGGGCTGGTGTGGGCATGGCCTCCCAGCATGTAGGGCTGGAACAGGAATGTGCAGCTTGCTGCCCTTGCCCCTACGATTTCTGTGGATGGTTGGTGGACTGACGGGTGCCGCCACGCTCCGAGATGTTGCGTTTCACCTTGGGGCCCATGCTGGCTGGCTCCACATGGAGTGAGGGGCTGGAGCAGGATTTCTTGAGGTTGTCCTCCTCCCCCACTGCTGTGTCAAACAGTGTGGACTCAAAGGCCGCCAGGTCATCAGAGCCAGCTTTCAGCTTGGCACGCAGCAGCATGGCATAGGTGCCATAGCGCGATTTCTGCAGGGACACAAAATGAGACATCTAATTTGCTGGATACAAGAGGCAGTGGCATGCCCAGCCCTGCTGCACAGGTTGCAAACTGTTCCTACCAGTCCCCTGAAGCAGAACCTGGAGGCTGCTCGGTGCAGCCTGGCCAGGGACTATAGTGCTGCAGGGCCTGAGTTATGGTGTTAAGCACTGCCCTCTTGGGGGAGATTGACAGCCAGAGCACTGGGGACTCCAATCTGTGCTGGCTGGCAGCACCAGCTAGGAAGAAGACTGTAGCTCAGCCCTGTACTAAGTGTCTGTTCATCTCACTCAGTGGCTCACCCTATTGCAAGGCCTGTTAAGTGCTGGGAGGAACCAGATCAATTCCACTGGGAGGTCCCAGGCCCAGACACCCCTGCCTGGGGTCCTCCCTGCCCCGCCCCCCCAGCTTTTAGCACACTGCTGTCAATTAGGCTATTGCACTGGGAGAAGGAGGAAGGCCCCCAGCTCTGCCCTGCAGAGCTCGTGCACTAGACAGCTGTTATGGCAAGGAGCAATCACTGCATGTCAGGGGTGCTGCAGCCAGCAGGAACCTCCCCTGGTGTGGTAGAGCTCCCTCAGGGGCTCTGAAGGCATTTCTCCAACAGCGTGGGGTAATCACCCTGGTTATGGAGCTATTTCCCATGTTTCCTACTCCTACTTCCTACTGACTGGTAACTCGCCAGCACTGGGTGCAGAGGGCAGCTCAGGGAGAGGCCCAGAGCAGTAGCAGTGCAGGCAGGGGCTGGATGGACAGGGCTCACCTCAAACTCCAAGTATTCCTCCCGCTGCTTCAGCTCCTCGTACTCCTTGCCCTTTACCTTCTTCTCGGGCAGTGAGGAGCGATGTTCCACCAGCTCTGCGGACATCGCCTTGAACTTGGCCTCGTGGTTCTTTACCTGCTCCTCCTGGGGAAGGGCAGTGCTCCATTAGTGCTACCCTCCCATGCTCACCCAAGTCAGCTAGCTATGCCCAGTGCTAGCCCAGCATGCACTATGCTTTCCAGGGCAGTGCCTCAGCCACTCCCAAGGCCAGGGTCCATCTCTCCACCCCTCTGCTGCCTCTCCCACCCAGTGCCTGGAGCTGCTGCTGGGCCCTTTAAACCTGCAACCCAGCTACACCCCTTGTGCTTGCCATGCAGGCTCAGGGCTGAGGTGTGGGATCCTGCCTGTGGCATCTGATGCCAGAACCCATACGGTGTAACCTGCCTCAGGGGAGGTTCCCCCTGACTCCCAGTGGATCAGTTCTTGCACTGAAGATGGGCGATTTCATGTCCTTCAGTCTGTCTGCAAGTTCCCCTATTTACCACCATGACCATCCCTTGGGTTGTGTGTGACACAGGGAGAAGCACCCTCACACTCCCACTTCTCCATGCTGCACAGGATCCTACAGAGCCCCCTCGTATGGCAAACCAGTCCTTGAACAGACTCCCTGTTCAAAGGGCCATAAGGAGTGGGACCAGTGCTACCCAGGGCATCCTGGCAGCCATGCTCCATAGCTTAGTACTCATGTTCTATCTGAATTTGTCCCTGTCCTACTCCAGAGCCCTCTCTCCGGGGCGGTGTGTTAGCTTTCCAGCCCCTAGTGGCATTCAGGACTGTAAGGCCTCTTGTTTAGGCACTTCCTCCTCTGCATTCAGTAGTGCTGAGTTTCACCACTGCTGTGCTGCTGGCTCCCCTCCAAGGTATCTCAGGTCACTGCAGCATTAGTACGAGCCCATCAGTATCTTATAACATCTGGCAGTGCCAACCACAAGCCTTGGGCTCCCTCCCCTGCCACCAAGCACAGTGAAACAAATGCCTGAAGTTCTACCTGGGAGAGCCTGGTGCAGGAGCTGGGCAGCAGTGGCCGGCTGAACTTCTTCTGGGACCCAATGGCTGCCGGAAATGGGGGTGCTGAGAACATGGCTGCCACCACGTTGATGCGTGTGATCCAGGAATGCATCTGTTCCGGGTTCCTGCGGAAAAATGTTGAAGCGCTGAGAGGGGCCGCAAGCAGCGGCATCCTCCCACCTTGGATGGCGCTAACCATTGCCCCCTGTGCATGGGCCATGGCTGGAGGTGCCAGGTGGAGTGACTCTAGAAAGAAACCACTGCTCCATCCAGGTTGGCATTCCTCCCCTCTCCACAGCAACAGCAAATGGCATGCCCAAGGTCTGGATACAGGACATGCCCACACCAAAGTAAGTACTTTATAGTAGAGGTACGCCAGCGTCTAGCACAGACACAACCAGGTCTGTGGAGGTAGCCGTCTACCCCAGGTGCCATTACAGTCAGTTCCATGAGGTGGCAAGTGAGTTCATAACCAACCTACCCCCAGAGGAACCTGACTGGAGCTGCAGCCACACAACTGCCAGAATACAAGGGGGTCAGGGGAAAGGGACTTAACAGTGGGGGTCTACTACAGACCACCCAACCAGGGAGAAGAGCTAGACCGGGAATTCTCAGGTCAGCTCACGGAGGCAGTTAAAGGACGTGGTCATCATGGGTGACCTAAACTATCTGGACATCTGCTGGGAAGAGCAGTCAGCCGGGCCTGACCGCTCACGTAGGTTCCTAGCCGTGTTACAGGACCTCCATCTAACCCAGTAGGTGCACAGCCCCACCAGGGAAAATGCCTTGTTGGACCTGGTCCTGGCCACAAGCGATGACCTGGTGAGGGGACTGTGGGTGCTTGACCACCTGGGTGATAGCGATCATCGCCTGCTGGAATTCACCATCCAGTGTAGAGTGGCAAAGGCCTGCAGCAAGGCAGCAGCCCTGGACTTCAGGAGGGCAGATTTCATTGAGTTAAGGAGACTAGTGGGGGAGGCGAGTTGGGAGTCCAAGAAGAGTGGTCGTTCCTGAAGAAGACGATCCTCCAAGCCCAAAGGGTGGCAATCCCAACACGGATCAAAGGGGGCAAGAGTGCTCAAAAGCCCCCATGGCTCTCATAAAGCATCCAGGAACGTCTCAAAGCTAAGAAGGAGGCGTACACCCAATGGAAGGGAGGGGCCATCACCAGGGGGGACTATACCTCGGTTGCTCGTGGCTGCAGGGGGGCGATCAGGAAGGCCAAGGCAGAGATGGAACTGGGACTGGCAACCCAGATCAAGGATAACAAGAAGTCCTTTTTGAAATACATAGGGGGCAAAAAGAAGGTACCGGGTAACGTGGGGCTTCTGCAGGACATGCTTGGAAATCTGGTGGTCTCACCAGATGACAAAGCTAACCTATTTAACAATTTCTCTGCTTCAATTTTTCTGAGCAGGGACCAGGTCATCCAGCCCACTGGGATCCCCGATGGTCCCAGGGGAGAGACAGCCAGGCCCAGGGTCAGAGAGAACCTAGTCAGAGAACTTCTGGTGGGACTTGATGTGTTCAAATCAGTAGCTCCTGACAATCTCCACCCCAGAGTGCTGAGGGAATTAGCAGAGGTCATTGTGGGACCCCTGGCACGGCTTTACGACCACTCGTGGTGCTCTGGTGTGGTGCCAGAGGACTGGAAAAGGGCCAATATGGTCCTCATTTTCAAAAAAGGGAGGAAGGACGACTCAGGAAATTATAGGCCTGTTAGTCTTACCTCGGTCCTGGGGAAGCTCTTTGAGAAAATTATCCAGGTGCACATCTGCGAGGGGCAAGCAGGGGAGTGTATGCTTAGGGGCAACCAACATGGGTTCATTAGAGGCAGGTCCTGTCAGACCAACCTGGTGGCCTTCTACAACCAGGTCACAAAATCCTTAGACGCAGGTGTCGTGGTGGATGTAGTGTTTCTGGACTTTAGGAAGGCCTTCGACACCGTCTCTCACCCCATTCTCGTTAAAAAATTAGGCGACACCGGGGGTAGGAACCAAAAAACGGGGCCTCGTTTCCGGGGGGACCCATTTAAGCGCGACACCGGGGGTAG